ACACGTGTTGTCCCACAAACGCACGTGTTCGCGTATGTTTTAACACTGTCGTCTTGTGAGACCTTAGCAACAATATCCAAGGGGCGGAGCTTAGCGGAAAGGTCCATTAACTGTATCATTACAAACAGCTGTAGCTTGTTGGTTAAGATACTTGCCTTTTCCAATGCCTTGATGTATAGTCTATCATTAACTTAAGTGCATTTGATTTGGTCATTTTATATTGGTATTTTCCAGTGCATAATTATTGTTATATTATTATCCTATAAAATTTATAATACTTTTTGCTTCTCGGGAGGAAATAAATCATAATAGGCCCTACTCTCCGCAGTTATAAACAAATGTAAATACAGAATATGAACTACAACATGCTACGTATTTAAATCTGAGATCATTTTCGATCAGTAGAATAGTAAAGGTATTACACTTGATAAACATTCGCCTTTACACGGTTTGGACTGTGAAAGGCGCTATACAAATACATGACCATTGACCATTCGTTTGTTCCATGAACTGCCTTCGTATATAAAAAAAAAAAGAAAAATTACTAAAAGACTCATTGTTATAACCAATAGACCACCGAGCTAGTGCTGAGTCCCATCCCCAAGCAGTGGGTACTGCAATGCTATTTCGATGTTGTTTTGCATCAGGAAATTCAATTTCACTAGTCTCGAATGCATGGGCTTCATCTCGAGAGGCCCATCTCGAAAAGAAGCCCCCTCTTCATTTTGCAAATGTAATCTCGAAAAGCCATTTCGAAGAGAAGTACATGGTCTTTTGAATCAAGATAATTAATGGGTTTCCTTGAGATACGGTAGTATTTACATTCATATTCATACTGACGTTATTTTTAACTATTATAATTGCATGTCAGTTCAATATTATTGTTACAGCATGGTTAAATCAGGGAACAGTTTGTAATTTAACTGTTCCCTGGTTAAAGTATTTGAATTCCATAGTTAAAAAATGTCGTATAGTAGCGCAGTTTTACAGCATTTATTTTGAAAAGAAGCCATTCTCTTTAGTTTGGCACATCTCGAAAAGAAGTCCATCTTGAAAAGAATCCCATCCAAAGGTCCAAAAAGTAAAAGCATGGCTTCTGTTTGAGGTTTTACGGTATACGATTAACACGTCCGGTAGAGCAAAACATCACCCCTTAGAATTTCCTGATGTAAAACATCGAAATAAATTACATATTCATAACAACATAATTTATTCATAGCTGCTTCTTGGTAAGGTGACAAATGAACTTTACAATAATATCACTATGCAAAATTTGAATTAATTTAAAAGATGTACGTAAGTGGGTTATGGAATCAAATGGACAATAATATTAATAGGCCTATTTCAAGAAAACCCATTTGGTATAAGAACGTGCGTCAGCAGAATTAGGGCACACAGTGGAAGGTGATGACAGACTGATGATAATATGGTTATGAGGAAGCGAGTATGTACTTATTTCCTTTGGGGTACGATGATAACTCGTTACATTTCTCAGCCTGACTGCTGCCACGCGTCATTATTTTGCGAGCTCGTTACTGGTTCCAATGTGCAATTTTTTTGTTCATATTAATTATTTTATTAGAGTGTATTCACGCAATGTCGTCTTTGAAAATTATATTCCGAGTATCGCTATCGGCATCTCACAGAATTTATAACTGCATGTTATAAATAAGAAATAATAATAATGTGACACAGGAATTATACTGCAAAGTGGCTGGTTGAATATGCCGCAAGAACATCCGAAGCTGCAGCGCGGCGTTTTGCGCAGGATTTTCGCTGCGTGTTATCGAATTATCGCGCGCGCATGTTTCCGTTTCTTATGGCAACTGGTCTTGAGGTTGGAGGTTTGTGTTGCTGCTGAATTCATGTGCTAAATACGCTAGCGTTTCATTTATCCTGAAGTCTGATACATTACTTTGACGATGTAAACCACATAGAATAAGTAAAATGTAAATGTACAACATAAAGTACATGATTTTTAAAATATAATGTCCAAACTAGCCGTCAATCCGTCTGCACATAAACCGACACCAAAGGATAAAGGACAGAGTGTATTGGAGATTCATGGCTTCTCGTCGATAGAAACTATTGGTCATGGATCGTATGCCACAGTGAAGTCGTCGATGTCATCAAAGCATAACTGTAAAGTAGCAATCAAAGTCGTTTCGAAACGCAAGGCACCAGATGATTACCTTACAAAGTTCCTGCCCCGAGAGGTCCAGGTAGTAAAAGTACTTAAACACCCGAATCTTGTATGTTTTCTTCAGTCTATTGAAACTACAAGTAGGGTGTACCTCATCATGGAACTTGCTGAAAATGGAGATCTTTTAGATTATATTAAAGGACACGGTGCTATACCAGAATCTCAGACTGGGATATGGTTCCATCATTTGGTAAGAGAATAGGAGACATACTTCAGTTTTTTAAATGCACTTTATATCACATGTCTATGCCTTCATTAAATTCATTAGAAACTACTTTAATTAAAACCATCTAAATGAAGAGGAGAGAATTGAAGTGAAATATACAAATCGTATTAGACTTTTTAATAGCCACACAAGCAAAACACTGGATTTCAAAATTATTATCATTACACCACCTTTCCTACCGAAATCAAGAGAAAATGCACACATATTTATATTATTTATTTAGGCCTATCATTGATAATGATTTTTTTTAATCATTTCATCAAGTTGGTGTCTTTATACCTAATACCTACCGTATTGGCGAAACTACTTTTTGTGATATTTTATACGATCTCTGATAAAGAGAGCATCCCTAATTACGAACATTGTCTTCAATTTCAAAAAGGCCTCTCTGCGGACGAGATGTTTTACGTCTAGGGGCAGAAGCGTGACATAAACGACACTTTGGGGAGTAGAAAGTGTATGAATGTGTGGTGAGCGCGTCGTACATAAACTTTCATCATATTTTAACAGCCTAATATTCTATAAAGACATTCTTGTAATTGTCTATTGATCTTTAGGCCCCTAACCATAATTCTACAGTTGACTTTTGCATGCGTTAGGCCTACGTCTCTAATACAGTTTTGAGCACGTTAATAAAGATGATGTTATATATTATTAATAAACCACCTGAGCATGAATTGTAAATCTCATGCCAAATTTTAATGACAAATTCCCATTAAGGTATAATGGCATATTCGTCATTGTTAAAATGTAGGTCTGACCTACATTACCTCGCTGAATTAAAGCATCGCAACAATGACGGAAAACATCGAAAAACAACCGTTGTCAATTAAAAAAAACATCGCAAAAACAACCAGTGACGTAGTCGTGGACTAGAATTAGGCTTTACAGAGACCATTATGATCTGCAGTTACTTGAAAATGATTATGTTTCCATTGATTCTTGGTTTAAAATGTAATTTTTCGATTTGTTTTTCTCTTTTATTGTGATAGGTGGACGGGATGGATTACTGCCATCAGCACGGCATCGTCCACCGGGATTTGAAATGTGAAAACTTATTACTCAGTAAAAACAATGTTCTGAAAATATCCGACTTTGGATTTGCGCGTGGCAACATGAAACCAAAAGAGAACGGACAGGTGATTCTAAGCGAAACGTACTGTGGTAGTTATGCGTATGCGCCACCCGAGATTCTTCGAGGAATTCCTTACGACCCGATGCTCGGCGATGTCTGGAGTATGGGAGTGATTCTGTTCACGATGATGTTCGGGCGTCTACCGTACGATGATACAAACCACAAGACACTTCTGTCACAGGTTCAAAAACCGCCTGGTTTTCCGTCACACAAGAACGTAGCACAAGACTTCAAAGACATCATTTGTAGGATACTAATTAGTGCTAAAAGACGTCTTCATATTAAGAATATTTCCGACGAGGGGTGGTATAAACGGGTAGACCCGACGAAACAGAAACTCCGCAGAACGAACCAGCAAACGTCCTCAGGAAGCAAGCAACAACCCAGCACGTCAGGCGAAACATCGTCTGCTGCGCACGATAACAAATCAGCTGTCTAATTCCGATTATGTTTCTCTTTAACATGCGCATCGATTCTATTATAACGGATTAGCAATAAAATGTAATACTGCCTCCAGTAATTTTTCATTGCTTTCTTGGCATCTTCATAAAGTAAGTTATTACACACCTTTTTAATTAATAATACACACACAATAATTTAAACTTTCGATCGCGATATTTTTAAAGTTTTTACTCGGTTTTGATCTGAAAAACTTAACAATTCAATAGTCATTCGTAGTTGTTGTTCTTTTCACTCGCTTTGAAAAGTGGGGTTTTATCTAGGCCCTATAGAAAATCGACGCCGATGACTGTCGTCCATAGTTCAGAGTTCTTTGCACAATTGGTAGATTCCATCCAAATTAGGCTCTAGTATTCAGACGACAAACTCATAGTCGATGACATTACGTTACGTCATTACCTCAGATTTTACCGTTGTTACGTAATCGAAACTTTATTATTAAATCACAAGATACTAATCATTCAAGATCGTATACGACTTTAATATGAGATTCGTCGGCCAATATATTTATAAAATTAGTTTATCAGATAATCTATCTTATATTTACAGTTAGTGTTAGTTTATAACAAAAATTCTGGGCATTCTCTTTATTTCTTAGATGACATCGCTTGACATGAAATTGCATAAAAATTAGGAGATATTTAAATGCAAATTAAAGATTTTAAAAAAGTGGTGTTCAGCTATAAAAATTCTCTAATAAAATATTGAACGTTGAAAGTACTAAGTAAGTTATAAATTTCCAATGATATACACAACAAAAACAATTAACTTTTCGGTGATTTATGGACCTTTTTACTAACATTTTCACAGGAATATTAAAAAGAATGTAGGGATAGTATTATCAATGCATCTGCTAATAAACCTTGCTTTCCATAACATCAGTACACTGTCACTTCACCAAATGCCAAAACTACATAGCTTTCTCCAAAGAAATTGGGAAACTACTTCCTGGATTCGACCAGCCAATCAGTGATGATGAAAGCTGTCGGTGGATAGCATGGACAATGTATAAATTTTATGGAAACCAGGTTTTAGCCAAAATATAGTTTGTGGTTCAAATTTATAAACGAACAGTAAGCAAGTGTAATAGGACCTATATTTATTTTATTAGCTTATCAAAGGCAGATAACTATACATATTGAACACACTAAATGTTCAACAAGGAATAGGTGCTAACCTAATAAAGTAGAAAACATTTTCCTAAAAAAGATAAAATTCCAGTAATTTGTAGGAAAATATGAAATATATAATGATTATTTAAATCACAATAACAGAATAGATATAATACAAATATACACTAAATAATACATTTAACATTAAGGACCTAGGATTAATGATAATGTGCAACAAAATTGATATGATTATTAATAATAAAAGATTTAAATAACATTTTGTTCGGAGCAACTACAGCATTAAGGTATATAAGATGGGGAAGATGCGGAGGAGCTGTGATATGTTTTATTAATTCAACTCAAGACAAAAGGTTTGAGTCTTAACTCCTGTTAGTGTTCTTGGGCAGGGCAAAGGGCATAATGAAGAAGGTTGAGGGCACTGGCTAAGGCTTCTTGGGGCCATACTACTCTAGAGTTCAGGTGCAGCCTAGATGTGTATAGGGCAAAGCCCCTACTGCTTCGGTGTTTCTGACATTTTAAGGGTGTTTTTTTCTTTTTTCAATTCTGATTCTTAAAAGGCCCTGCTCGGCCAATGTGGGGCAAAAAACTGTTGGTGAATAATCTGTAGGCCCTTAAGATGTGGGCCCCTGATTTTAGCCAGTGAGAGCTCATGCACTTCATCTGCATTGCTTCTGTGTCAGGGGTCACACAAGTATCTGGTAGGACACTGAAAAGAATGGAGACAGTAGTATCAAACAGGCTAGTAGCATGATTTAATTTGTGGGAGGTTTGTTTCAGTGGAAAGTGGACCCTTTGGAAACCATTATACAATATTTTACATTGTTGACTTGAAGTACTTCTGGCTTGTATGAGGCTTGTATGATCTCCGATACTCTGGAGAACATTGTAAATATACCTATGAATATAAATTTTTCGTTTTTAAATGCCGACCTTCTCCAGTTTTGGGGCAGTTCATCGTAACCCCCTTAACCCCCCCCCCCCTCACGGGCCTGTCAAAGAGTATAGAACTGTTGGACTCTCGAGGTTTTGTTGGAATGCAATCCTATCTCAAAAAAAGTGTTACCACAAACTAGAGGGCATCCTTCAATAGAACGCAAAAGGCATTGAAAAAATTCTTGTAAGTAAACCAATAACATACGTACTGTTTGTAACATACGTACTGTTTGTAACATACGTACTGTTTGTAATGTTTCAAACAGATCTTTATATCTAGAAACCAGATTGAAACTATTTGAGCTTAAAGTAAAAGGTAATCGTAAAGAGGGCGCACTTATCGTGTGGTAGTACTTTCTTCAAGCATCGACAAATTCTACGAAAAAGATTACAAAATAATAATATAATTTCTAAATAAGGTGCATTATAAATTCAAATAGTTTTATTGTTTAACTTTTTATTTTAAATTCTTATATAATTTTATTTTGGTAACCAAATTCTGTTCCTGTCCAGTCACCCCAGTGGGTTTAATTTATTACCATTTTTAAAGAGGGTGACCTATCCAGTTCCTGCAGGTACTGATCATTAAGGGCTTTAATATTAAATTAAATTAATATTATATTTCATGGTTACTGAAAATAGTTCAAAATAAATGCACTCTTTGAAGTGCTACTGACTAGCTGTTGTAACACCTTCAATCATATAAGTTTAAGGGAACTAGGGTGTTAACAAATTATTTAACGCTATTATAAAAAAAACTTAGTAAGTCTCATATGACTACTTCATTATGTTATTATACTAGCCGTAGTAAAGGCAAGCCAAACCAGTCAATCAACACACAAATGGATTTTTAGTTATTAATACAGGATTGTAAAATGAGAGATATAAAATGGTAAAGGAATCTTTTAAATCAAAGCTTTAGGCAGAGACCATCACCAAATTGTTAAAAATTTTGATATTCCAGCATGTTTTGGCCATTATCTCTGAAACACGATTTGAGACAAGTGACTAGTTTGGCTTGTCTTTGCCACATTTGTGAGGTAATAAAGACTACATGAAATATCTGAATTTGGAAATAAGTGCATTTTCTCCTTCACCTGGTGTGCCTGATAATCTTAACCTTTCTGCTCTGTCTAATGTTTGAGAGCCATTTTCATTCTCTGAGTGCCCTTAACCTCCTGGACAGGACATCCTCTTCTTGCATAGATCTTGAAGAGCTTGCTATTGTATCGCTAACCTCAGGTGCTTCTGCAAGATCGCTGATTACGTCCAAGCCGTTCTCGTCCGCCACTTGTTTTATCAGCTGATCAACCTGATCCTGTGGCGTGCTTAGAGTTGTTGCATTACCGAGAGAACCTTCCAAAACCTGAACGACAAAAATAATTCAATAAATTTTCAAAGGTCATTTGCATGCAATGTTACATCACATGAAAAATGCTGTGGCTTAATAAGCCCCATCTCTTGGATACTGTTGCTAAGCATAAGCATGTGTGTTTGTTGGAGGGGCCCGTCCCAGACGCTGGGGGTCGAGAATGGCCCCTTGTGGGGGTCTGCGGCATTTTTTGCGTTCTATGATGTATTTTAATGCCTTTTTCACACATTCAAATTCTAGGTATCGTGAGTTTACCCAAAAAAACCCATACCTGTTCTTAATTTTAACTAAGTTATAACTAATAAACATATTACAATAAATACCACAAAAAAAAAAAAAATGAGCCAATTAAAATTAATAAATATTTATGGACATACAAAACGTAGACTGGCGATAGTGATGAAAATAAAAATGCGCCAAACACTCAGCAGACTTTGGTTTGGAAAAGGGCCTTGGTTATTTGTAAAAAAAAAATATTTGAATTTGCTTGGGGAACCCTTGAGGCTCCAGGGCCCTTGAGGCTCTTGGGGCCCTGGCTTTAGAGCTCATAGCCATTACGCCACTTTTCCTGATCTGACTGGTCAGTTGTTTATTGACACTCTAGATAATAGTTGCTACAAAAGGCTGATGGAAATAGTGGAAATGTGCTTTATTTCATACAGGGCCTTTGCATAAATTAAATTATCATGTGCCTGTTTTTTTTTTACAAACAAACTGATTGGTGTGCAAAGGTTAGGTGCAGGCCCAGGGAAGTGAAGGTGGGGAGGGGTGCAGCACTAACTGGAAGAATAAGGTGACATTTGATGATTATTAAGTCCTTAAATGTAATTTTCTTGCTCAGCAAATTTAAAATGGGACACCTCCGGGTGTAAGCTTTTTTGAGAGATTCCCCACCCCATCCCCTCCCACCCCTTACATGTCTGGCATGAGGAACGACAGAATTTTGAAGGATTTCAACCCATGCTTCTTAGATTGGACACTGATCAACCACGGAGAGTTCCATTGTCAAATTACTGTAATACACTTTCCCTTAACAAAAATACAACTAAAAAAACATGAACCTGTGTGTGGACATCTAGGTCTTCGAACTGTGATTCAAACTTCTCCATAATTTGAGACACCTATAATGATAAAAATGACAATAAAATTGGTGAAAGATAATTCATATTATTTACTACTAAAGCTTAGTTGGCTCATTAAAGTGTAAACTTGTTTTGTTAATGTTCTATTCTTTACTATTTTTGTTCTATCCATTTTGCTTGGTTTATTGCCCTCCAATTAATCAATAAGTTAATAAATCTTTTCTTTTCCTGGTTTTATTATCAAACTCCGAAAGTCCACAACACACACCATCGTGTCGGGATTCAATATTTAATTGAATAATTAATGTCGAAATATTGAATCCCGACACGATGGCGTGCATTTCGATACTTGGAGTATGTATTATACTATATTATCAAACTCATTGCAAAAAAAATTGAATTAATATGGGATAATTAACAAATAAATATAAAAAATAGAGACTTCACAAATTAATTAACCTTAAAAAATTCACAACAAAGCAACAAGAAGCTTCACCAATAACAATAAAATATTTAAAGAAGATAATAAAAATAAGCACTGAAAAGGAGAGAACACTAAAAATGTTCAAAAGGATTAAAAACCATTAACAATCAAATACTGTAATATGTGTTTGATAACTAATATAATGTGAGCTTTCGTGTTTTCAGTACATTTTAACGGTAAAATATTAGATTTTCAATGCCTATTCCAAAAAGCCTATGAAGTCATTCAGCCGTAACAAATGATAACCATCGTCTGTTGACAACAGACAGTGCCACCTGGGGTCGCGACGACACGACTGTGGTATTCTATGAGCTTGTCTTGATGTATAAGCTTGGTGTAGAAGAAAAATATGTTACCTTTTGTAGGTCCATGGATGCCATTGCTTTATCAAGTCCTTTCACTACACTTCCCATATTCTTTGTAATCTGAAACAAGTTTCAGTCAAAAAAAATATTACTTATTATCAATTTCATGAAAATCTCATCACACAGAAATAACAATGAATTAATAAATATGGTTTAAAAAGGGCCACATAAAAATGAAAAAAACACTGATAGGATAGAATGAATACATGAACGTGGGGCAGTGGTGGTTCCAGAAACTTACCTAGAAGATGGGTTCTTGCCAAGGGTTGCCTAGGTAGTTGCTAAATACAACGGGTTCAGCCGAGGGGGCATGGCTTTCTATCAGGAACTGCAACCACAATAACTTTGAACGGATCAGCAGATTAATATGTTTTATCTGACGAGTTGACTGGGATTCATGCTAATCCCCATCCAACATTACCACCACTGAGTTGTTAATTTATGGATCATCACATAGTAATTGGTATGAAATAAACTTACTTCTTTCATTGCCATAGCCGATTGGACCCTGGATGAGACAGCGTCCACCCTGGACGCCATGCGTAGGTAATTCAATCCTTCATTTTTCTTTCGTATCGCATTTTCTGCATAGATCTTTGCTCCTTCAATATTCTTTTGCTCTATAGCCTAAAAATTGAACATTAAAAAATAAAATCCAGTTACCAAGGCAAATCAGCAATTATCTTTTGTAAATTAATAATTTGATTTAAATTTCTATCCATGAATTATTCTCTTCTGCAATGATGGAAAGGGGCAATGATGCCTACAAGCTCATAGCGAAATTTAACAACATCTATGATGAATGCAGATTTCAATTGAATTTTGGGCTCAGTGTAAAGTTATGATCCCTTTAAATAAGGATTTCAAAGTTTTGAATTTCTTTAGGTTTTTTCCTAAATTCACCACAGATGGTATTTAACTACAGTTTGCCCTCCAAATCGAGACCACCTTTGGGACCTGAAAAAATTGGGGAGGTCTCTGGCGTGGTCTCCAATTAGAGGGCTAGTTTTG